TTGATCAAATTCATGGGGCTGTTAGGTTGGTTGTCTTTGTCACGTCATATTCTTCTTGTTCTTAATGACAGGAGTAACAGTTTTAAATTGTACTGAATTGAAAATACATTTTAAATTAAGCCATCCAGGATGAATAAATAACAATACACCACGGACAGACAACCAAAATTGAGTCAAACATGAATTGATGAGTCATTCAGAGTATAGAACACAACATTAGTTTTGATATCATTTTACAGAAATGTCAATTTTTAAGCAGAACTTCATGTGAAAGTACATTGGGGGTTATCAGCATTATTAGGGGTTTCTGTTCAGGTATTCCTATGTTTTTAATATGTGGATACACAGTGTAAGCATTAAGAATGATCCCTATGCCTTTCTTTGAAAATGACTTTCAGGATATTGAAAGAAAACTCATCTTCAAAGTGTTTCCAGCTACATTTGTACAAAGGCTGTTGCCATTTTTGTGTATTGCTGTTTTGGCACCTATGCACTAACACCAGCCTCTGCTGCAGCCACTGGAATAAGCAGGGTGATTTTTTTTTTTTTTAAATTTAGATAGGGAAGAATGAAATTCTTCAGAAAGAACAGTAATTAGAATTTACATTTTAAATTGTGATTTTGCAGTTTTTTGTTTCTTATTTGAAAAATGACTTCAGGCTACTGGCAGTCAGATAATGTACCATACCCCCTTCTTGGAAGCTCAGGGTTCATCACTGACTAGGTATCATGAATCTTACGAAATATCTACTTTCTAAAACTATCGACTCGTAAATGTGCTCCTGTGAAATGGTGTGATTAAATATAACCCATGCCCTGGGGCAATCAGGAGTATTCCTGGATGAAGGGAAAATCAAACTAATGGTGAACAAGCCCCTAGCAATTTCCTGTTATGTTGCTTAAAAACAGAGAGATGATTTTATTTCCTTTCTGAATATCAGGATAATTACACGTTTCTGGAAGGTTTGCTCTTCATAATGGAGAGTTAAACATGAGTTCAGATCAGAATTTAAAAGAATCTATAGTCCGGTGGAAGTGTCTGCAAGCATTTAATTTGGCAGGATGGAAACACAAATCCAAGTATTCCAAAGATTCATCAGGATTTTGTTCTGTGTTTCAGAGTTGGCATCAGTTCTGATCTACTGTAATGCAAATAGAAAGTGGAGTTAAAAAAAACAACACCTTTTTGTTTTTCTTACCTTTTGCAAAGATGTTATTGTGTCCTCCAGAATTAGTGTTAGATCAAGGGGCTTTTTCTGAGCATTGTTCTATTATGTCATCTATTAATTCTATTAAAAGTAACCAAAAAAGTGTATTATTTCTTATATATTTTCAGTTTTTGCCTTACCTGTATGCATATTACTATAGATCTCTAGTTTAAGAGTTCAGTTTATGGTAGTGAAACACAAGTTTTCAGGTTTTGCAAATGAATTGAAATATTGGAGGACTAAGGTAATACTCACTTGAATGTATCTGAACCCAATGCAAATGAACAACTGTAGCACCAACAATTGATATAATCACTTTAAGAATATTTCCTCTATCTTAAAAAACTTTGTGTAACTTTTTTTTTTTCATCAAAGACCAGTTTATCTAACAGTTTTGGGGGATTTTTTTGCTTTATTTAGTTCTTTTTTCAAACTTTTCTTCAGGGTACTATGTGATCAGACTAAAGAAATGCTTGCTCTTCATCTTAGCTCCTTTTAAAAATGTTGTCCTTTTGCAGAATTGAACTCTAACTTCTTAAAATACTGAACAGTTTGATCCACATAGAAGGACCTTCAGAACAACATGCATTTAGCAGTTGCATTCACATCATCTTAAATTGTGTTGGTGAATTTCGATAAAAAAATCTGATTTGTATTTATTCTCTGACAGAAATCACAGTGCTTTGCCAGTTATTTATCCCTTCTTACAGAGCTTCCAGACTTTACTGATCATATTCAGTTCTAGGGCAGTGGAAATAAGCTGTCCACCCATTGCAAAAGCAGCAGTGGAACCTAAGTAGGTTACTCTTTTGCTTTCCCTCCAGCTGCTTGTTACAGTTCTCTTTGTCTGGATAAGGCATGAAGACTCCAAAACTTTCATTTTCAGACACTTTTCACTCAAAATAACTGATCTTAACTTAAATAACAGGTCCTTGCTAACCCAGCATAGGAATGTCCTGCTATTAGTGGAATCCAGTGCCAGACTATAGTCCTTAGCTAGAATTTACTTGTTTCTATGTGATTATATTCTTATCAGAGTTGATATTTCTCCTTTTGTCATGCCTGGAAGCACAAAAAAAGCAGTCTGCAGGTTGCAAGTAAATTACAGGCACGTATGGATCTTTCAGCAAGAAAGATATAGGAATGCAAATTATTATAATTATTACTGCTATAATAATGTACTACAACATGCTCCTTTTGAATGGTGATGGAGACTCAGAGTACTGGGAAGAATAAATCAAAAGCCTTTTCTTCCTCTTGTTCAAACACAATACTCTGAATTTTGCTCGCAAGTAGTTTCTTACTGTAGAAGAATAAGTACTAAGAGCTTCTGCTGCTCCCTGCTCTGCTATTCCACAACCTGGACCAAATTTTTGGGCAAGTTGTTTACCTAATTCTGTTGGTTATGAAAATATGAGTATGTGTTTCACACATGAAAATCTAAAATTTTTGTTATTTACAACGTATATTGCCAATTGCAATCTTTGACAATTTAATATCTTGGCAAGCAACATGAATTTGCAATCTGTGAGTCAATGTAACTAAAAGAAATGCAAAAAGAATGATATGCAGTTTGAAATATCAAATATGTAATTATTATCAAAATTAAAGTAATTTCAATATAGCCAAATACAATTTTAAACACTTGATTTACGAATACTTTTGCATCAAGAAATGCTGATCGCAATAACCACAGACTCTGAGTCTCCAGAACCTTCATAAAACAATAAAGAGACTTCATTTTAACTTGGATAAAATATTTTAAAAGAGAAGTGGTATAAAGTTAAATGTTTGCAGAGGGGGAATAATGTTGTTTGTGACTCACCTGGTCTTTATGAGAACAATCAGGCCCTGATGGTGCCTGACCATGACAATGTGAATTACCTGGCTGCCCACAAACTCTCTGCTTCCAGCAAAGAACAGTCATCTCAAGGATAGTTTAAGAAAGCCCATTTGTCCTTGTCATCAAACTTCTCATGTAAATTGAGTGGATTCTGAAAGTTTGGGAGTGTTTTAGCTGTGGAGAGCTCATCTATCACTAATCTACTAAATTTAATTAATGGCTGCTATTCATTTTTTCAAACAATTGCATTTTTGATATAGTTTTTGCTCTGTAGTGTTAATCATTTTTTCCCCACTTTTCTGATGGTCACAGAGACTAATTTGCATTTTTACATCGTGTATGAGTTACAGTTTCTAACCTCTAAATGTTGAAAGTAAATATCCATTTCTTTGCCCTGGCAGAACAGAGTTCCACTCCCCAAAATATTGTATCACATGTATTTTATTCTCTACCATGTTAAACCTTCATCTCAAAAATGTACAGCAGTTTCTCAGCCTGTCCATAGTGAACTTTTTAGAAGACCATGTCTTTTGTATTTGCTTCTACATCTGGAAAATATCATCTGTATCAATATTTTTTTTTGACTCGTAATAATACACCATTCACTTTGAGGTGAGTGTCTGCACTCAATATTGTTACTTTTTTCTTTTTTTTAATATGCATTAATTAAAAGACTGGAAGGACTTACCTCAGATTTTTCTTCATCTGTGTCCAAGTATATCATCATCTGGTTTTAGATGTGGTAGTTGATTCCTGTGAAATAAGACTATCGGTCGTGTTGTGTCTGTATTGTGCTGATTCCAGGCAAGTTGTTTTGGAGCCAGAAGGGAAATGTATGGAAATCTTTGTTGCATCACCATTCCCATTAAGAAAACCCCATCAAAATAGTGTCTTGTTTGGAGGGCATATATAAAATAACTTGTTCTTATCAACGTAACCTGTGGGTGTTTTGGGGAGGAGGTTTCTTATTTTGGGTTGAGTTTGTTTTTTTGGTTTTTTTTTGTTTTTGTTTCATGAAAATTGCAGCAGGTGAATGAGATGAGAAATAATGTGCAACAATAAGGGTTTGCTTAAAATCAGACATTTGTCAACAATTAGGATTTAGTGTTCTTCAAAGAAACAAATGGTAAACATACATGATGCCAACAGCCATGGGTAAAAATAAAGTTGAAAGGTTTGTGTGGGGCTTTTTTAAAATTTTTTTAAAAAGTACCAAATTTGGACCACAGCAGTTATGTGTGTGTGGTATCAGTTACTATAGCTACTGTTCAACATACAGAGTAATTGATGCAAGACTAGTTCCTTTTTTTACCTTCTATGTTTTTGCTGTTTTCATGTTTCTATGAATAAGTTTTTTAGGTAACAATTTATAGGCTGCAAGCTAGAGGAGACAAGTAATATTGTCTACTAGAGTCTCTTCCTGGGCATAGAATATCACTTTCCAATTTATCCAGTGAAATTTACTCTCGTAGTGGTTGTCTGTTGTTAATCAATCTCTTTCTTGCATTTTAAGGAAAGACAGTGAACTGTCTTTCACTATAGCAGAAATGGGGCAGGGCTGTGGAGTGCCTGAAATCACAAGGGAAAAGTCCTCCTTGCAATTGAAGCTGACTGTGCTCCATGCCATGATATCAGCAGAGTTGTGATGCTGTCCATGCTTCAGTTTTAAAGACCCTTATTCAAATATTTTGATGACTAGTTCAGAATCCTAGAAATCCTCCTGCTCCCCTTTTCCTTCCAGTTAGTCTAAATCATCCATGACAGAATTGTCTAACCCATCCTTGATGAAGAATTCTCTTTTGTTAAACTGGTCCCAGGCTTCACTGTCCTTGCTGTCAGAAAGTTTTAATCTTGTGTCTGTACTCAACTCCCCTTCTCAGCAATTCAAGCTCATTACTTCTTGCCATGTTACAAAAGGAAAAAAAAAAGCCCCAAAAAAACCAACTACCTTTTTTATTTTCCCAGTTCCTTTTTATATATTTGGAGACTGCAGTTCACCTCAAAGATCTCTCAGATTCAAGTGCTTTGGTCACTTAACCTTTCCTCAGGGGCCATGCTTTCATCTGTTCTCATGGTGGCAATGAAAGCTTCTTTCACCATTGTTTCTTGGTGCCTGTACGTACTCCCAGCTCGCAGGTGCATAAAAACGCTGTCAGGAAAGATTCAAGGCTGAATGGATGTGACGTGCTGACGTCAATGACCCAGGCTTCAAAACAACTTTATAACCTGGAGAAAACAGAACAAGCCTATAAAAGCTGTGGGAATAAAAAAAATCTCTTGATTTCACGGTGCTGCATAATCCTTCCTCAAATACAGCGAGCCCCCAGCAGACCCACACAGCTTGCTCAGCCTCTGGCTAGTCATTACATGTTCAGGCTCAACTCTTTCCTCAAGTAAGCAGATAAAATAACTGTGTTCAAAACATGTCTTATTTCCTTGCTGGAAACCCTTTTGTATGAGTTTTCTTGCAGTGACAGGCTCATTCTCTCTGGCATGAGACAAATGAGCACACAGTTCAGTTGCTGCCTTCTTCTGGATGTCCTCTGGTGTCTTTATGTCCACCCCAATCTCGTGTGACTGAGATTCTGTATTAATCTTGCACAAGGCAGCTGGCTTGGCCCTTGAAAACAAAAGCTATGAAGGAAGGGTTTTCCAGATCACTGAGTTCTTAACAGTCACCTTTGTTTTTTCCCTTGGGGTGTGCTGTTTCACATTTGTTTTAAACCTGTGGTCCTGGGGCCTGTCAATGAAAGGGATGGGTTTCCCCCATCCCTAGCCACAGATCTTGCTTTGTGTTCACTATATCATCTGAACAAGATCGTTGGACTGATCCAGCTGAAAATGAATTCAGCAATAAAAGTAACAATGAATTGTCTGCACATCTCCTCTGATTTGCTGTGGGGTGGCACAAACACCATTGGAGGAATAAAGAATAAATTGGGGCTGGTGTGGGGCCAAGGCAGGGCAGCAACCCAGACTTAAATTCATTGAAGTCACTCTAGCACCAGCTTGGAGGAATCTAATCATTATTTATCTCAGCCAGATCATTAAATTTCAACCTTACCTCCTCAGTAGAGTTGTTGCAGTGATTTAGGCTTCCTCCCTCACCAGTCTGTGTGACAGGTGTTCTCAGTGCCATCCCCACATGCTGTTATACTATTAGGCAGGACATCACTTTATTCTGCCTATTCCAACACACCTGCATCACTGGGAGTGTTGTTTCAAATGTGTTTGTACCCACAGCTTTGTATTCTTAAAAAGAATGTCCTGGCTTGTCAATGTTTTTGGAGCTCATAACTGAGACAGGTGAAGCTTTAATGTGAAGCTACATAAGCTCAGGAACATCAAAAGCAGCAGCATGAGAAGGCGACACATCCACATTTCTACCTTTTTGGATACCACCAATTTTCTGCACACCAAACCAGTTCTGCTCAACTGCTTCTGAAGTTGTGCCACATTTTGGCACAAGCACAGCAAATGCTGCACCTCTGCACCAGCTTGGGTGTCTTGCACATGGCTTGAACCTTAGGCACAGAGGTTCATGCTTTGTTGCATTTGGGTTCAACTGAGTGACCCTTCAGAGCACCAAAAAAGGCAGCTGAGGCCACACCTCAGTTTTGAGCACAGCACCCTAATCATAAGATGCTGGTTCCTTTTTGTGTTTGCATTTCTGCAGCAGCATATTCTGGATCCTGTGGGATCCTTCTCAGGGCTGGGTAATTCAGCTGATGTTGAATTACACAATGTACTGTACAATAATGCAAGATATTTTTCATCCTTTCTTTCCACATTTTTACATTTCAAGAATCCCCTTCCGCTTGTACTGGTAACAAAGCAAAACCCTGCTCAAACCTGTCGCTGCATAATTTTTCTTATCAAAGTCCTTTTCCCATAAAAACTTACGTTGAAATATCCAACAACCTTAGGAAAACATGTGACTTCCCCCCACCCCCCGCAATTACTGCCTACCAGAAGTTGGCTCCTCTATTTAAAATGAGACCTTTAGACCATTTGGGTTTTATCTACACTAAGCCTACAGAAGAGGTTCCTCCTTGACCCTGCAGCTGATTGTGAAACTGTCAGGAGAGAGTTATGCACTTCAAGAAGACATAAATCATGGAGTTAATCATAATCAAGCTGCGGAAGTTAGACAGGAATCAGTTAAAGGCACAAAACCAATCCAGCAGCCATTGCAGCTGCCCTTTTTGCAAATCCATCATTTGGAAAAAGATAAGCATCCGAGGAAAAACAAATGCCTCTTGCTTGAATGCACACAATTTCCAATAGAGAGGTGGTTGCCTTGAAATCCCGGCTGTAATTTAATTTTCTTTATTCAAAACATTAATTAGAGGTGAGGATGGAGGAGGGGAGGGGTTGTTTTGGAATTTGTGGGGGTTTTGTTGGGCTCTTTGGTATGTTTTTTGTTTGGTTTGCACTTTATTTGGGGGTATTTTGTGGGTTTTTGTTTTCTTTTTTTAATCATAAAGTTCTCTGTCCTACCTGATCCAATAGGGATTATTGCAAAAGAAGGTTTCTGTCTTCTAAAAATCTATTAGGTATTGGACTGAGTGAGCACGGACCTGAGTTCAGAGAAGATGTGCAAAATTCAAGCCAGACTTATAAACTGGAAACTGAAATTCTAAATGTAAAACCTCAGGGAGTTTTGAGTCCCTTATTAGAATTTCTATCGAAAGATTTCCTGTGGTTGTTACTTAAGAACATGGAGAAAGGATAGTATTGCTCTAGACAAACACAACTACAGAAAACAGGGCTTGGGACAAAAAATATTTGCTGCTTGATTGAAGCGAGGGCAGATAAAAGGGTGGGAATCCTGTTTCACAGTGAGATAAAACAAGGCCAATTACCTTTATGTATTTATTTTATGTCAGGGTTTGGTGGATTTTGGTTGATTCTTTGGTTGGTTGATTGGGTCCTTTTTTTTCAGTGTGGAGAGGGAGAAAAAGAGGGGGGAGGTAGAACAAGAGATCAAGAATAATGACTTCTACCCGAGTCTGCCTTATCTAGGGTGAATGCCAAGATCAGCTGTACTATCAGCTACTCTGGCATATTTAAAAAAAATATTTTTAAAATAGTTCCATTTTATATAGAGCAATATACTTTGGAGAGGAGAGTTTATTCCTTGTTGGATCCAATGTCCAAGGTAAATGAGTATTCCATGGCAACTGGAGTGTGGGAGCATTTCACAGAGAGGGCATTAGCTGTGTACACAGAATAAAAGATCTGCAGTAGGAGATACAGAGGGCAGCCCACCAGCAAGTCTGATCATAACCTCAGCCATCTGGTACACTGGCATTAAAGCAATTTCTATGGATACATTGATTTTTGACCAGGAAAAGGGGAAACTGAAACTTGCTTGTGTTATGGAAGTGCCTTAAACACCGGATTTCTCTGCTATTATTTTTCTTCTCTGTGCCTCTCATCCTGTCTCTGTGATTTTTATTTTACTTTTTTTACCGGAAATTCCATTTTTCTTGATGCAGCTTGCTTTGTGCCTGGTACTGTCGCACGAAAAGTTTTGCTCTTCACATGTCAAGAGTTTGTGACAAAAGAAATCATTTCACTAGAAAACTCCTGATCAAGCTGTAATTGGCATACTTCACCCCAGAGTGGTTCTGTACAAAGGGAGAGAATGCACATTGCTCTGCTCTGCTCCTCATGGTCCTCAACTCTGATTAAAGATGCTTTGCCATCTGTGAAACAGTTGCAGCAAGAAATGTGACGGCAACTCCATTTACATTATAATCACTTTGAGCTTAGATGTTCCTTTAATGCTTGCTCTTTTGTCTCCGGATAATTTGGGAATAAAACCCTCGGTGCAAACATATTTAGGGCACGGCCATTTCTGAAATGTTTGGGTTAACTGTCTGTGTTATTCAGGAAGTCAGATTAGGTGATCACAGTGCTGCCTCCTGGTCATAGGTCCTGTTTAATTAACATTTGCCATTTCCCTTGCCCTTTCAATGTGTGAAATCCAGCCTTGACACTGTGCAAGGGCTCTGTGTGGAACACCCCCTTCTCATCCCCCCCTTTTTTTTTTCTTGTATATTTTCAGCTGCCACTTACCAGAAACTCTCTGGGATAACAACATGAGTAGTGGAAGTCTACTGTCCCAGGAGAGTACGCTCAGCTACAACAGGTCTGAACTCAAAGTATGCTCAACTCTTTTGGAGCAAAGACCAATAGAACTTAAAATGGAAAAGGAAGTTGATTGGACATTGCTGAGGCACTTTTTGTTGTGGGGTCTTTTTCTCTTCTTTTAAAAACAGAACAAACAACTAAAAAAGTACCAAAACCAACGTCCCGCACAAGATTTAATGACTCTACCTTCTGAGGGAGATGTGTTGAAGGAAAATCTTGTCTTGCATTTCAGAGGATAGTTTAAAAACTAACAGAAAAAATAGAGCTTTTCTGTGATGGTCTTCAGCACCTGCTGTTGTCCAGCAGATGGTGCTGAGGAAAGTAGATGTTCCTTACAAAATCAGGAGTGGATGTTATTGCTGGGTATTATTTCCCCACTGTCCCATGCAATCCTTACTGCTTCTGCTACATACATCTCAAATGGTGTGGGGGAACCTCCCTCCAGCATCAGCCACTGGAGATGGAAACATTCTACCTCTGTTTGCCAACCAGGTATGCAACATTCCCTGGGGAATGTTATGTTCTGCCCTTGATTTAGCACACAGTCCTAGAACTTCATCTGTTGAAGTTCTAGCTATTGGTATTTTGCAAAATGCATCTCATTGCCCTGAGAGATGGGAATTTGGACCAGACTAGCACAGCTATATCCCCAAACCTTGATTTTGCCTTGCACAGATTTACCAGAAGGGTTTCTACCTTTGGCTTACACTATCTGACAATTATCTGGCTGTACAATACATTACAGTTAGAGCTGAACAAGTAGATTAAAAAATTTGAAAGCACTTGTGACATCAAGGGGCAGATTAAATCACCAAGACAATTGAATCATATTTTCAGTAGAAGATAGCATTGGAAAATGATTAAATCTACAGGCTGTTTTAACTGCCTTATGTCCTACGCTTCAAAATATTGAGGCCAAAAGTACTGGAGACCTCTGCTGCTCAAAATGCCAGTTTGAATAGTTCTCTAGGGCTATCAAGTCTCCCCTGGAAGTAAATCTTATAAAGGCCTCAGTGTGAATCAAAGTTGAGGCTTGCAGTGTTTACATATCTTATTCCATAGAGACTGATCCAAAGCACTTGGTGGAAAGGGGGTGGGTGATGTCCCCATGTTTATTTATAAGAACTGCTATTTTATTTGTACCTCAGCCATGATTAGTCCTAATGGTTATTTAACTCACTAACTTATTCAGATATCTGGACAGAGCAATTGTTTGTGAAGGATCAACCCATTTGGTAATCTTCGAGCAGGGCTTACCTGCCTGCTCTTTACTGGTCTGGGAAAAATAAAGGGTGGTGTTCCAGGGTCAGACTGGGGCTGTCATGTTGATTTGGGTTAGGACTTGTAAACTGGTGTTCAGTTCCCTATTCCATGCAAATTCTTCCTGTACCAACAAGCAAGCCATCTACTTTCCCTCTTTGTCACTCCCCTATCTACAGTACATAGATAAAAGCCTCCACATTATCTCAGCAAGGACTTAAAGAGTGGAAGGATCTGTCATAGCAGCAATAGGGAATACATTTTCTTTCAAGTTTGTCTGATAGGCATGGGGAATGGATGCTCCTGGAGGGGGAGAAAAAGATTGTCTTTTAGAAAGTAAATGCAATCAGAAACTTCTGCTGAGGAAATTATCTGATGTTTAAAGAAAAAACAGAAATTATGCTTATTTTTTTCTTTCTTTGATTCCCCTTGATTCTCTGAAAATTATTTCTTTCTGAATCAGCTGTTTACCCAGTTAGTATTATTGTCTTGCCAGACCTTATTTGTTAATTGTTTTGCTGTGTCTCTAAGTAATAACGTTGCATCCTGTGTTAATTTGACTTGGAAAGAGAAGTACGGGATAGTTCCATTCGGTAATCTGCAGAATAATTTATCCTCACTGGATAATCCAAATATTCAGCACCTTAATGCTGGGCTCGGCAAGATAAAATATTGACACATACCATGAAACAAAGTTCAGAGCAGTGATTCTGGAACTAGGGCTGACTGGGGACTGGTTGTGCTGCCTGGGGAAAACTGCCCAGAGCCCTACAGATGTGGTGAGCATGGTAGTGCAGTAGATTTCTGTACTGGTAAGCTCTGCCTTGCAATTAATGCTGTGCCTCTGTTTGATCTGCTTCAGGTAACATTGGTGGCTTTCTGTAGGAATAAACCTGTGCACACAAGGAAACAACGTTGTAAAGGGGGGCTAAGGCTGGAATCTGATGTGACACAAGTAGGGGATGGAGAGGCACTGCCCCCCAGATGTGGTGTGAGCTGCAGGCCAGGATGCCTCATGCCCTGCCTTCAGTACTGCAATGCCTCTGAGTCCTGCCCTGCCTGGAGAGCTGTGATAGGCAATTCTCCCAGAATCCAGAGTTATTGTTTTATCTGGCCAGAATCCACAGCTTACATATAAAACCCTTGTCTTCACCTTTATGGTCAGAGCTGTCCTTTGAATGTTCTACTCACATTTGGCTAAATGACCGATGACACACAAAGGGAGTATTTTCTTAGCCATTAAGGTGGCTTTTCTAAAAACACCGAATATTCAGCAGTGTTTAACCATGTGTACACCCAGCTGCTTGTCTGTGCAGTGAAAAATGAGTTTAGTGTTTTGATACACGACAGAAGAGCCATCTATATATTTCAAACTAAAACGACAAAATAACTTGGCATATTTTCTTAGCGCGGTCACATGGTATTAAAAATGTTTTGTGGAGGAATTATTTTAAGCTATAAAATATTCTGTTTGTTTTTTCTGACTACTGAGATAACAGCAGAATGTTTTGTCTGCACTTATACAGTCTTCATTAGCTGCTGGAAGATGTAAAACTGATTCTAACTTCTTGGAACTTCAGCTCAAAACAGAGATAATTTATAGTGCTTTGGATGGGAAGTTTCTGAGAAAGGAACTTACTTTAATAATAGGAGATCAGTTGGGGTTTTTTTCTTTATTTTTTTTTATGATGGCTGATATTTAGAATATACATTAATTACTATTAGTGATTGTGTTACTTTTCTTTGGATTTATTTCCATCTATATGCGTAGACCTCTTGCTCATAGTTGAACTGTTGGTACTATTAACCATCAGCAAAAAGACTAATTATCTTTAGTGTGATAAGACCTTGATGCCCTCTAGAAATATGATTTTGTTTCACTAGATATTATATAAACAGACAAAAGCAATCAGTGGCTGAAGATTTCACAGTTTGAGTATGGCATGGAGCAATGGATTATGTTAAACAGATAAACATTACATAGGGACAGCAGGTTTTCTCTGGTTTATTTAATTTGATTTGGTTTATTTCATTTGTTTAAATATTAGGTAAGTGGTGCTCAGTAAAAATGGAAGGAGATCATTTGATTAGGAAAACAAACAACAGAGGAGAGATGGAAAGGGAAGCACTGGACTGAACTCAGCAGGGAATAAAAGAATGGGAAATAAGGCAAACAGGTAATCTAAGGGCTAAAATGAAGTGTCAAAGTTGGAAGAAAATACCTGGATTGAAAACTATAGTAAAATTCCTGAAGACATCATGAACATATGGTATTACTGTAGGTATTGTGCTGGTCAGCCTCCAGTTTTCATGCCCATTTTGTTTAGAAAGACCTGTTCCTGTTCTTCACCATGTCTGTGCACGTGCTGGTAGAGGGTTGGGGCCAGTCCTGTGCTGCTCAAGTCATCCTCCTCTGCTGCACCAGTGCTTCCAGGCTCTTGGCAGCCTGCTCAGGTTCAAAGATCCCTGTGGGGTTATCTATTAAATGTGAAGAACTAGACCAGCATAAATTGATCTTGACATCAGGAACACGAAAGGAACTTAAGCTCCCTTCTGTAGTTCTCATTACAAAGGAGGTTCTTGGTGTCTGCAGCTTCCTTTGGGAAAGGAAAGCAAAGGAAGCTGTGCTGTTAGGGAATAGATCTGTTTTCCATCATGTCTCATATTTCAGTGGTCACTTTCCATGCCTCTCTTATTGAAACTCTGGCCATGACACAATGAACACTAGATGTATTCTTTGACCTTGATAATGGTTCAGTTAGTAGGTACTCGGTGACTACTTTAAAATGCATATGAATATTTGGAGAAGTTAGTTGTTTCCCTGTACTGTTTTTAGAGAGGAAATCTTAATCTGGAGCCTGGTCTCTCACATTGTTGCTTTTTAATGAAGTTGAGCCTGTGCCATCTGCTAGATGTACTGATTACTTGGGGAGCTTTCATGTTGCTATTCACTTAAGTTGATATATAATTTATGTTTTATGCTAGTCACCTTGAGGCCTTTCTTCACTCATTCCAATGAAGACATAAGTTATCTCTTGCTGTAGTCACTGCATCATCATTATTCTTTTAAAGCAACAGCCAAAAGAAAAAACAGTTAAATACATTTTCTGTCATAAACCTGAAATCTCGAGCCAGTACCTTAAAATGCAAGAACAAGCCATTAAAAACTGCCTACAAACATGAAACAACTGTTTTAATTTGTTGCCAAAAACAGTTTATCAGATTAAGATAACTGACTGGCCTTCCTAATGTTTGCACTTCAGACTTTTTCTGGTCTGTGGTTTTACTGTGCGGGGTGTCTTCGTGTCACCAGTTTCAGAGTCTGACCTTTAGTTATGAGAAACAAATTTTGTTGTTGTTGTTGTTGTTATGAGTAGAACACAATGAAAGTATAGCTTCATTTTCACCATGCTGCCTTTAACGTAAAACCTCCACTACAGCTGATTTGTACAGTGTACAGGAGAGTAGTTGAATCTGCCCTTAACTCCAGGGAAGGATGCTGAGCATTGTCCTGCTATAGAGACAGAGGGACCTGGACAGGTTTGAGAGGTGGGTCCGTGTGACCCTCATGAAGTTCAACAAGGCCAAGTGCAAGGTCCTGCATGAGGGTCAGAACAATGCCAAGCACAAGTACAGGCCAGAAGGAGAATGGATTGAGAGCAGCCTTGGAGAGAAGGACTTGGGGGTGTTTGTTGATGAGAAGCTCAACAGGACCCAGCAGTGTGCACTCACAGCCCTGAAAACCAAATGTGTCCTGGGCTGCATCCCAAGCAGAGTGGGCAGCAGGTTGAGGGAGGTGATTCTGCCCCTCTGCTCTGCTCTGCTCTGGTGAAACCCCACCTGCAGTGCTGCATCCAGCCCTGGGGTTCCGGTACAGGAAGGACATGGACCTGTTGGAGATGGTCAGAGGGCTGGAACACCTCTCCTATGAGAACAGGCTGAGAGAGTTGGGGTAGTCCAACCTGGAGAAGGAAAGGCTGTGGGGAAACCTTATAGCAGCCTTCCAGTACCTAAAGGGGGCCTACAAGAAAGCTGGAGAGGGACTTTCTCCAAGAGCATGTAGTGACAGGACAAGGAGGAATGTCTTCCAACTGAAAGAGAGTAGGTTTAGATTGGATATTAGGAAGAAATTCTTTACTGTGAGAGTGGTGAGGTACTGGAGGAGGTTGCCCAGAGAAGCTGTGGATGTCCCATCCCTGGAATTGCTCAAGGCCAGGTAGGATGGGGCTCTGAGCAACCTGGTCTAGTGCAGGGTGTCCCTGCCCATGGCAGGGAGGTTGGAACTAGATGATCTGCAAGGTCCTTTCCAACCCAACCCATTCTATGATTCTATGGTTTTTACTCCAGAGGTCTGGCATCTTTAGTAATTGTTTAGCTACTCCTACAATGTTGTAAAAATGAATTCGTGTTTGCAGAGGGCTCGGACATGATCAGATGAAAGGCTCTGAATAAGTACAAAGTATAATTATTAGCCAGTGTTTAACAAGGATTTATGATTAGCACGCAGCCTGTGTAAACAGTATTTGACGTAGGGTTAACACAGAGTGAGAGTTGGGCAGCCTACTTCACTGAGTGCTACTTTTTTCACTCACACTGAATCTCATCTTAAAACATTTGAAATCTTTGTTTTCAGTTTGTTGCAGCTCAGTCTAAAACTCTCAAATGAGGCTACTTGGTTGATAAAACATTGTTTACTTAAATCTTGAAAACAGGCAGGAAAAAACCACTTTATTTCAACAGCTGCTTTTACAAGGGTGTCTTGGCAAGAAATAGTCATTTACTCAACAATCAACACAGAATTAAGAAGTTAAGGTAAACTTAAAAAGTTTCTTTAGGTTCTCTAAAGCAAATACCTAAGTTTGACATATTCATGTACACCATAGTGCACAATAAACAAATCTCCTTCTGGCTCCAATTAGCAATTCTTGGGTTTCTGAGGCGTTTTGCAGTTACTGAGTGTTTACTTCCTAATCACTGCTGTTGTTTGACCACCCCAGGAACAGGCTATATGGCACATAACTCCTGACAGTGATCAAGTTATAATTACTTTGGTTCTTATCCAAAGGGCCAGTCCAAAATTTCTTGTGATTCTCAGTGCTCCAATTATCATTGTGGGCGCAATTCATGCGCTTCATATCTTAAAGGAGTTATTTTAAGGCAACAAAATTCAGCAGGTAACAGAGATACACTTCCAATAACATGGATATTGTGGTCACATGTGCACATCGATCTCTGTATTCCAGCTCAAGCTGCAAGCTGTTGCTCGCTGTATTTATTCAAGATCTCTGCAGTAGTTTTGATGGCAATAAGAACTCAGCATATCTTTCTGCTCCCTGTTCTAATGGACTCCAAGAAATTTCTGCCTAAATTCCTACAAGTTCATTAGAGCTTCTCTATAGGCTACTTAAACTGTTTTTTACCTCGTTACTTGAGAAGAAAGAGCTCTTTTTTAATACAGCTGGACAGGGGCTAGAGAGAATGAAAAGAAAATGCAAAAAGAATAATTAAAAAGAGCGATTTAAGAGCTGATAGTGTCAAAGAGAATTTGCTGGGTTTCAGTATTTCACAGTACTTACCATGAAGGTCAGCATGTGTCTTCTTTGCTTGAAACCTGTCCAGCTTTCACTCAGATGCAGCTGCTTCAAATGCCTTTTCATCTATAGGTTTGAGCATCTCCAACATACTATAGAGGAGAAGGGAAGGACCTAGAGGAGCATCCTGACAAACCTATGGCATTGTCATGGTTTATCACAAAGTAAAAGGTGTATTCTTGTGAAGGTCATCCCAAGGCTGGTCAGAGCAGCAGCAGGTCCACTGGCTAACACTGCCCAGAAGAGCTATAAATAGAACCTTTTCTCTCCCTAGTGCCAGCTAGATGCTGGATTTGTGATCGTGGCATTTGCAGTTCAGCTCTGTTCAAAGAGGTTCTGTGCCAAACAGTAGGTGAAAAAAGCAAGCAAGCAAGCTTCTTCAGATCTCAGCAGAGGGGATGTAGAAAATCAGATGATGAATTCATTATAAGCACAGAGTCTTTGTGGCTGAAGTAAATATTACTCCCTTTCTATCTTCCCTGATAAATGAACTGGCGTCAATGGGTGTATTACAGAGTCTTTATGCTTTGGCTTTAGAATATTCAGACATATAGACAGAGGAAAGGAATGCATTTTCCATCCAGCCAAAGACCTATTAATTCCAGCTTTGTGTGGGCTCTGAGGATCCAGGTCTAATACACTAATAATTAAAGAATCTCATCATTTATATTCTCCCTTTTACCAGTTTGCCTTACAGTGTGTGATCTGTCATTCTCCAAGAGAAGTGAACCTTAGCAGATCACACTCGGAGCAAAGACTCCATAGTGCTGGACACAGACGTGTTTGGAAACTCAGCAGCCTATCTTGTCTTTGTTGAACTGGAGCCACTACAACCCAAAGGTTTTAGGGTTTGGATTTTTGTTGGTTTTGTTGTTGCTGGGGTTATTTATATCGAGTCAGAAGACTTCTGGCTTTGCTTGCTGAAAAAACCCAAACAAACAACAAACTGAATACTTTTTTAAGTACGTGTTCATCTGTTCATATGACTGATTTTTAGAGGCAACTGAGAGCCTTGCATGTGAGATGATGGTCCTTACTCTCACAAGTTTACAATCCAAATGTGAGAGAAGGAACAGCAGGAAACATAACAGATGCAAAGGAAGCCCAAAGTAAGAGCAGAGCGAAAGATTCAATAAACACCACTTCCAAAATAGCAAACATCTGTCTGTTACCAAAGCTCTGTTGCAACAGCATCTTCAGAGGAGAAAGTGAGAAGGCAATCTAGAGATCTATTAGCTGTGTTTAAACAGCCTTTAAAGCCTGAAAACCATCCCATTTACAAGCTTAAAAACAAGACAACCTTCTTCCCTGGCCTGCTATTCTGCTAGTAGTCTTGAGTAGTGTTTTTTTCAAGTGTGTATTGGTTATGATGCCTTGCCCTTGCTATCAGATTTGCTCTTGGTTACACCTGTGCTATTTTATGGCTTTTAAATAGGCATCAAGTGATTGCACTTAGCTTTAAAATAAACAAATTGAAAAGTTTCAGCAGACAAAAATAAGCGAAATTTAGCTTGCTTATGCTAAGTTTTGACTTTGTGGGACTAGCAAAAAAACCATACAATATATCCAAAACCATCCATGGTTGATTAAGAGCATACATGACAGATGTGCTAAATAAATTGATGCTGTCCTGTATAAAGCTGAGGTTAGGTTCTGCTTTAGATGTAAGTGGCTTGTTAACACCTCGGAGAGAGAAATAGCCTGCATGCCCTGGAAGCAGGACAGTTGCAATTGTGAACATGCTGTTTTGCCTTCAGGAGTGGAAGGTAAGAGAAGGGAGCCATGGACAGCTGTTATTTTTATTAAGGCTTTTAT